TATTAGAGAGCACCGGAATATGCACTCTAACTCGATTGAATATTGATTAAAGTGTGTGGCGTGCACTAGTTTATTTATGGAAAACACACTCTATTACAACACACACAACCCACACAAAACATACACCGTATCTGACATCAAAATGATGATGAACGCGTGCTATTTATAGCGCAAAACGAAAAGAGAGTGAAAATCGAGAACAAACTAAAACAATGAAATACAGCGAAGAGAACAGACACCCAGAATATAGCCACATCACCAAAGAGTAAAAAAGAAAATCAAATGAAACATAGACTGAATAGGAGAGGATAAGGAAAGGATAAATGAAGTAGAATGATGTTAGATGACACTATCTAACACTCCTCCCCTCGCATTTTAAGTTGAGACGTAGGCTCAACCAAAAAACATTTAAATAAATAAGATAGAAAATTCTGAAATTAAAATAATGGAGCGGCTAGATACTGCACTAATAACTGCAACCACGTTTTCTATGACGATTGTTGTTGTATTGATAATCAGTTAAACCAAGTTTTCTTCTCTCTTGTATCCTTGTTATTCGTTAATTCACTCTGGGCATGAAACAACTGCCAGTGCTTTGCTGCCAGAATCTTATTGTAACAACCATAATGGATTGTCATTTGCCACCGAAGATATTAACATAACCGTTGCGATGAATCGATGGAAAATGCCAAGTATGAGTTAATACTGGATAGTCAGCATTAATGTCTTAAACATTTAAATCATAGTTAAGCAGTCTAATTTTACTAGATATAGAAAGTTTGTTAATGACCATTTAGATGATTGAGTATAAAGTGCATTGATTAAAAATTAAGAAAAAAATCACTATTGATTAATTCTAATCATGTCCGAGCTCAGCACCACCGTGTAGTATGCCATAATATCACGTACCAATACGAAATTGAAAAATTGTTTGATGCATTGATTCCCAATTGTTTCACCATCATACCAATACATGATAGCCCCTCAAGTCAGTAAGAGGGGGAAATCCATCTTGCCGGCTTGCATTGCTAAACCATTTCTGTTTGATGGTGAAATTGTTAAGAATCGAAGTGATTGGCGTGACGTTAGATAGTTATTATTGAGGCATTGTTGCGTTACGAGCATGATACTCGTGAAGTCGATTGATGTGGACTCGACGAATGTCCGTAACATTATTGGAATGTTGAATTATATATGATTGGTCTCCAAGTTTTTGAATAATTTCATACGGTCCAATATTCCTTGGATCAAACTTGTTCCATGATGTTGATACCATACCAAATCACCAACAAAATATTGTTTGTCCCTCCGATTGGCATTGTAGCGCTGTCGTGCTTGATTTTGTTGTTGAACGATGTTTTGTTGAACATATTGGTAGGCTATTCTTCGATATTCACGTTGATGTCTGATGAACTCGGATGGTTCTGGAAGGGTCGTCGTCGGTGGAGGAAGATCAAATGGTGAACGAAATTCTCTACCGTGCATTAATTCAAATGGTGTTACTTTCGTTGTCGAATGTCTACACGAATTGTAGGCCATTGTTGTTTTTAATAATTGTTCGTCCCAACCGGTTCGATTATTATTAGCCAATGTGGCAACGCTCGAGCACATTGAAGCATTAAACCTTTCACATTGCCCATTCGTTTGTGGATGGTATGGGGTTGATAGTAGATGAACCACTCCTATATCCATTAGATTTTGTTTAAACTCTTGAGCGGTAAAATGAGTTCCATTATCAGTTAACACACTCAACGGAGTTCCATATTTCAACACTTCCTCTTCAATGAATTTCACGGCTGTTTTGGCAGAACAATCTCGTACCGCTTTTGTGATAACGAATTTGGAAAACAAGTCCGTACACACAATGATGTATTTGTTCCCACGTGTTGAGGATGGATGAATTTCGCCTACGAAGTCAATCGCGACTTTCTCCCATGGTCCACGCATTGGTTCAATTGGGTGTAACACCCCATCGGGTTTTCGCCGATGATGTTTGTGTATTTTGCAATTCGAGCAGGACTGGACATGCTTTCGGATAGCGTCGTACATATTCCTCCAATAGTAACGATCTCGAATTTTGTAATATGTCTTCTCAGTTCCGAAATGTGCTCCGTTTTCGGCCGAATCATGATAGGCCAACAGTACGCTTTGAATTTGAGCTTGTGGCAAAACGGGTACGATTTTAATTCCATTAAATCGCTGAAGCTTCTTGCACAATAATCCATTGTCGACAACATACTTTTGCCTAAATGTTTGGTGCTGAATATTCCTCACAATGTTCTGAATTTCCTTATCGGCTGCCTGATGTTGCTTCAACTGTTCGGAGGTGAAGACAACAATTTTATAGATGCTAACCGGTACTGTTACTGTACCATCAACCAGTTTCGGTGCCTGATTTGATACCATACGATCAGGCGTGGTCTGCGCGGCTGATGATGTTGTCTGTAATGTTGGCGTCGATTGTTGGGCTGTTGTGGGATTCTTAAGGATCAAATGAGGAGGATGAGCAACCTTTTTAGCCATTGCTCGCGTTATAACATTGACAGAAGAACATGTGTTGCCATCGAGAAGTCGATCAACTTGCACCCCAGTCGAATTCATGATAATCGGCTTGTCAACATTGATTGGAGAATCGACGGGAAAACGTGACAAACAATCGGCTACAGGATTACACTTCCCAGACACATGGATAATTTCCATCGTATAGCCTTGGAGATCCATTCTCCATCGATTTAATTTAGCATTTTTTGAAAATTTTTGTTGAAGCCAGCATAACGGATGGTGATCCGTTTGCACAATAAATTCATTTCCGGACACGTACGAATCCCACAATTTGACAGCTTCTAACACAGCATAACACTCACGCTCGATGGTGGACCAGTTCTGCTGCTGTGCATTAAGTTTCCATGACATAAAGGCGATTGGATGCGGGCCTTTTGACTTGTCTTTTATCTGCATTAATACTGCGCCAATCCCGACTTGCGACACATCTGTGGCGATAATAAATGGTAGTTTGTGATCGGGATGGTGGAGAACGGGAGCTTCGGTTAACCGATTTTTTATTATTTCAAATGCATGCTTTTCTTCTGATCCCCAACTAAATTTGTTTTTTGTCTTTTTTGAAAATTTGTAAAGTGGAGCTGCGATTGTAGAAAAATTTTGGATATAATTTCGGTGGTAACCAGCTGTGTTTACAAATTTCATCACATCATCGGCACTCTTTGGTTCAGGGATCTCGAGGATTGCCCGCACCTTATCGGATAACGGAGAAACATCGGAATTAGCGATGGTATGTCCAAGGAAATCAATTCTGGTTTTGAATACTTCACATTTTTGCGTGTTTAAACGAAAATTCGCACGTGCCAGAGCCATACACACAAGTTCAACATGTTTGAGATGTTCAGTAAACGATCGCGAGTAAATGAGAATATCATCGAGATACGCGAGACAACATTGCCATCGGTGGGGACCGAGAACGTCGTCGACGATGCGTTGAAATGTTGGTGGTCCGTTTTTTAAACCTTGTGCGAGCACCTTCATTTGAAACAGTCCTTTTGAGGTTCGAAATGCTGTTTTCGGGCGATCTTTCTCAGCAATGGGAACTTGATGGTAACCACTTTTGAAGTCGAATTTAGTGAAATACGTACATCCTGAACACTGATCAAATATTTCGTCTTGTCGAGGTGGTCCATAATTATCTTTGATTGTCACGTCATTTAATTTGCGAAAATCAATACAAAAGCGGGGTGAGCCATCTTTTTTTTAACCAAGACAATGGGTGACGACCATGCTGAATAAGATCGTTCTGCTCTGTCTTCTTGTAATAGTTGTTTTACCGCTTCATCAATGATTTCATTATTTTTCGGATTTTGTCTATAATATGCTGCGGTGGTAGGACGACTACCTTCTTCCAAATCAATGGTGTGTTTGATGGTGGTATCAATAACGGATGGTTTCGTTGTATCAAATATTTCTGCGTATCTTCGTAACAACATTCTCACTTTTTCACGTTCAACACGGTTGTCTATTGATGTGACCAATTTATCAATGTCATCACAGACAGACTTCGGTGCTTCATAGTCCGATTCTTGATCTTTTTTCCAATGATCCAATTCGCGTAGATGATTAAACATTTGTTGCCTAGATGGAAATTGAAGGGAACATTCTCGACATTGATGTCGAGTATCAGTGTTTGAGTGTAATAGTGATGACTGTTGTAGCTTTTCATCAGAGTTAACTAGAGCAACACACAACCTTGAGGACGGATATGAAACCGTACTGATACAGGTGATGTTTTTAGATAATACCCGAGGAAATACGGACGGATTAATTACTGTTATTAACGATGTATAATTTTCAACTTTGATCAATGCATGTGAGAAAAGAACCTCAGATTTGTTCGCCGCATACGTATTGGGTGTAAACATGAGAGTGTCCGCGTCACGCACCGGTACTCGTATTTGAATTTGTGCTTCTTGTCTGGGTGCGAGTCGAACAGTGTGAACAAGTCGAGCGATTTTATTATCATCGATTTCGAAAAATGGAACAGATGCTTTCTGACCTTGTTTAGTTTTACACACGACGATGCGCTCTCCGCATTTGATATTTATATTGTTTTCTTGTGCCCAATCACTGCCTAGCAACAATGAAGTACACAACTCGTTTGAGACTGCAGCTTTAACAAATGTGAGAGCTGGTCCAATTTTGACTTTCAACCATACCGTGCCAATTGTTTTGAGCTCACCGTTATTGGCGGTTGAATATGTTCGATGATCGTTTTTGACTTTATGATTGTGAGAGAACTTCTTAAGCGTGTCATGACGAATGATTGTTATTCCTGAGCCGGTATGCACCATCACCACTGTCAGCCTTCCATTGACCGGCACTTGAATCATTATAGGTGATGGATTTTTCTTTGACTTAGGGGCAGTGCCATCTACCACTGTCCCTTTCTGCCTTTTAAACGAGGTTGAGTTGGACATTCACGTCGAAAATGGCCATGTTGTCCACAGCGATAGCATATCTGTGATTGTGGTCGACCGGTATAGTGTGCATTGGAATTGACAAGCGTTGGAGATCGATAAAAAGAAGGGTTGTTCGGTAGAACAAACTGCTGATTTGACCGTTCAACATCTCTAGGTCTCAGTTGCTGAACAGGTTGGTGTGTAACATTCGAAACCTGTCTTTGAACTAATCGAGATGGTTGATTAGAAATTGATGCTGTTATAAACTGATTTTCATACGTATACTCTGGTGATGGATACTGTGGAACAACATAAGTTTGCTCCAAAATCTTCTTTTCAGCTGTTTCCAGATTTATAATCTGTGCCATAAAATGAGCGGTTGTCTGAATATTTTGAGTGCTCAATAATGTTTGAAGGTTTTGTGTCAAACCGCCAAATAAGTGAATAATCTGAGCTTGCTGTGTCATTTGTGAATCCGCTTTTTCGCATAGATCATTGTTGTCCATAGCTTGTGGCACGTTGATATTAAGATCGTTTATCCGGGATATCACACCTAAGTGCCTTATCTGAATTTCATCCATCCATAGTTTTTTAGTATATTTCTTTCACTTTACTATTTATGTTCTTTTTGTTAAAATAAAAAGCACTAGCAAAACACAACTATACTAAATCTTGTAGAAGGAAACAGGATCAATACCTGATACTGAAAAACAAGGTCACTCGCTTCTGCTGTATATATACTTCCTAAAAACGAGTGAATTACTAAATATAGCAACCTGTTCGAAAATATTT